CCACTGCTAATTTTAGTCCTACGTTTAATATACGAGTACAACCTTTTTGGGTAATGAACACAATCCAGTACTAGCTGTCTCTCGCACTCTATACGATTCTTGTTAACCATATACTAACAGAGATTTCGAATTTTGTGGTAGTCCTTCTGGAACTTTTCCCTTCCTGTCATAGCAAATCGGTCCTATAAGTTCTTCCTCCGTCTTAATATCCTCCTTCTTTCACCAGTAATCCAAGGGGACTCATGCGATAACTTTCGAGGATTGTACCAGGGTACAAAAGGTGAAGTAACACAATCTAGTGTATTCCTAAATCCCACTCAAGCTTCCTCGACAGTCCGACTTGTATCAACTGACAAGTCAGCTACAGTTGCTGAGTTCCGAATTTTCGGTATATCCGCTTTCCAATTGTTTGGACGAGCAGATGTTGACGTGTATATGAGAGAATGAATCTCAGACGTAAAAGTATTGACTACGTGGTCACTGCTACCAAGCGGCGGTAAGCACCTAATGTTACCAACGTCCTCCTGGTGTGTTAGTACCAAGTCTAGAGTAGACGGATCACGTTCAGTGTGATACCGTGTTGGTGCATGCATATGTTGCACGAGTGCACATTCAAGCACTGTCAGCGTGAGCTCCCTATTGAAACAGGTATACATACTAGTGGAGTTTAATTCCCCCCAATTAATATGTGGAGCGTTAAAGTCACCAACAATCAGATACCTATTTCTACTACCCCACGCCCTCAAGTGATTTAGAACGAAGTCATCAGCTTGGCTAGCAGGACTTCTGTAAATAACTCCGATCGTTAAAGTGCCCTTGTTCAATAACTGATTCAGCTTGTGGCTTCACTGGTGCCGCTATCATGTACTTCTGACAGCGTTGACCTAATCCCTAAGTCATCCCTGATGTAAAGCGCTAACTCGCCACCTTTCCGACTAATTACTCTGTCCATTCTAATACGGTTGTACCCAGGTATGAGTGGAGTTAAGTCTACTCCCACTAACAAGCATGTCTCAGTGACAGAAATCACATCAGGTTGTAGTCTCAGATAATTCTCCTAATTCGGTGAGCTTATTCCTAAGACTACATGCATTCGTACAGCACACTAAAGCACCTACGTGTTCATTCAGCTTATGAAGAGAGATCTCGACAGCATCGGTTTTCGAAACCTTTTATCATTGATTTTGAACGCGTTGTCGAGGATGGTCCTCCTGTCTATCTCGTTCCCTAAAACTATCTTAAGTAGTCGGCTGGAATTTCACTGGAATAACGAAGTTAAAGTGTGAGTGTGGTGATTTTTTAGATTTTTCCCGGACATATTGTTCGGTTCTGAGAAGTACGAAACACACAAATTCCAGGAAGGTCGTTTGGATAGCCGTTAAACTAAGTGCAGTTACCTTCATAGTGGTGGTAGGTCATACTGTGTTGGGGTTCCAAGAGCGAAGTCGTCCTGATGGGAAATAGGGACGTAGTAACAGTTTTCTGTTTTTGTGCTTCACAACCAGCAAGTCAAGTATGGTGTCTTTTCAACGCCGAGGACCGCACATATGGTAGACCAGCTGTGAGATTTTCATACTGACACAATTTCAGAATCCACTCCGAAAACGCGATGTGTGACTGGTCACAGGCAGTTGTACCTATGACTTTGCAGTGAAGCAACGTTACTCCTCTTTCTGTTCCAGGTGCTTCAGGGAAAATAATTGACGCAGACGCTTTCAGCCCTTATGAACACCTAGATTTATGAGATTCTAATTATTGTCCATGTACTTATTCTTCCTTCCGTATATTATGACGAAGGATGAGTATGAGTATCGTGAAAAGTACATTGGCTGGCGCACCAACCTACCTGATATAATATTACTGTGTAACACTGTTTGACTTATCAAAATAAAATCTTATCCATAATGGAGCTACCTAACCTATATTGTTTAGGTGCCAGGACAATTCTAAAGAGTGGAACAGTCCTGATGAATGTTTACTGACATTCAAAAAATATCTTACAAAGATTTGGATACTGTCATTTAACAAGACCTTTCTGCCAGTAAACCGTGAATTAAGCCGATCTTGATTTGTCTGCATAATCCTGATGCGTCACCGAAAACGTCTGGTTGCTGAATTCGGGCACACTATGGAGTGTGTTAATTCCTCTCGAAGTATGGTTATCCGCTTGATATTAGTATTGTGGATGCTGTTGAGATGTTGGCACCATTTTAACGCAGACCGTTTACATATGAATGTCTGTTCAGAGTTATTTCCTTAGTCGTTTAATATTGCATTTCAAACGTGAGTACATAGGTGTTTTGATTTACTTCAGTGAAACACTGTCTCCGAGAAATCAAATAACCATCACATATTTTTGTCAACCATGCTGTTCTCTCCCCTTTTATTTTTATATTTTACTCGTGACTTGCCTCTTTCGGATGAAATCAACTTCGCTAAATACACTGATGACCTGACAGTTTCATTGCCAATGTCGTCTCAATCCGACTGTTTCAAACAGTAGATTTTTGTCGGACACTAGCTAAATGGTCTTACCTTAAATTTCTAACAGCTAACTTCACCTTCAGGCATAAACGTGGTCTACACGAATAGGTCTGTTGAAAAGATGCTTGTAAAACAGATGGCACTGAAATAAAAGCTAAGTCAAGCATAAAGTACCTTGGAATAATTAAATCCTCTGACTATTTTTGGTCACCCAATATCTCTCTGATTTCTAAGGAAATGTCCTATATAACCATCTATATGAAAAAGTTAAGACAGTCAGGAATCACTCCAACTCTACTTTTACAAATTAGCAACCCTTACCTATTACCTGTTCTTTATTGCTCTCCCTTGATATTTCCTTGGGCAACAATAAACGAACTGTCATATTTATGGTTTCACTATTCCAAATAATTTATAATTTTAGCTACTAATGCTATCATCATTAATTTATCCTTTTTGTACGTTTTCGACCTTATTGCCATTGCTGCTATTATCAATCCGGGTTACTTATGCCCTGTAATAATTTCGTTTTTTCCAGTTGTCGAGTGAATTAGACCCATTATTGTAACAAATGCTGAGAATTCCATATCTTAACATAAGTAATCATTTCGAATAAAGCCAATTACTATATTTATTATTATTAACATTATTGTTACTATTAAAGTAGTCTTCAACCTTCCCGTTAGTAATTATGTGTTTACGAACCTGCATGTAGCATCATTTCGTATCTTTAATCTTAATAGCTATGGATCACAGTTTTTAAAATAAAATATCTAATTTTAAATTTTCTATTATTGTTTTTAATATACGAACCTTATTTACAATATTCATTCATTTCTCCTTGGGTTGAACAAGACATCTTATACTTTATTCTTAACTGCAACCATAAGCGGAGTTTATGGGTTAGTCTCACTGACGTCTTATTAGCATTATTCAAATGTCTGTTGTGTATTTTTATAATGTAAACCTGATGAACTGATTTAGCAACTGTGAAGGGAATAAAGTTTTGAACAACTTTATGCCCTCATGGTGAAAACTTCATATTTTTATCGGACACAGTGAACAGTTGCCATATTGTAACTGTTGCTTTCTTTACTATTGAAAATCCAAGTTTCTCAGCATCCATAGTTACACCTAGAAGGCTGAGACACAACAGTTGTTGGCAACGAAATATCGATATGTAAGTTCAAAAACCACGTTAAGTTAGCGGCTCTGGGTTCGGAATTTGTGCAACAAACCATGAATCAGAACTCCATTAAAAGCTAATTCTAACAAATGGTGCCTTAGCGTTTTAATTTCTTTGGTAAAATGTAAATTAATCAAGTGTAGTAAATGATATATGGATAGCTAATGTAACAGGTATTTTGGTCTGATAACATATTATTACAATTTTTTTTCAGTTTCTCGTAATTTACTTTAGTTTTAGTCATATTGTTTTGTTTTGTAAGGTAACCATTATGAGTTTAACTCTTCTTATTTTAGGGGTTCAGGATGAGAAAACAGTATTCTTTAACATGAAGTTTGTCTAATATGTCATTACAATTTCCAACTTACTATTCGTAAATAAGGCTACAACAGCAATTGTTTATGTACCTTTATGCTTCTTGTTCAACTGGAGATGAACATGATCTGTTGTACTATGCCTGTACAGTTAACAATTCTATTGTTTTACAGGGGATTATTACATTATAAAAGCATTTGATAATAAACATAATGATAATTGAGAAGTTAGTTTTTCTAAAGTATGACTGATACAAAGGTGAATTCCGCCGTCAACCAACTTCAGTTCAAGAACTATTGAAAACGAGGGACTAGTGGGTAGAACTCTTATAAATTGTAAGACTTTCACGTAATATATAGTGTAATTAAAGGCTTTTAGGGTAACTGATGGGAAGAAGTTGATCGAATGAATCTCAGCTTAGAACATACTTGAAATATGTGTACATATAGTTCATTCGTTCTGAAATATTAATTATTCATTTAACGGATTATTACTGGCGTATCTTATTTAACAAGGGGTTTCAAAACTCTACAGCAGTTACCAGGTTTCTTAATTTCAGATTTTCCTCTTAAATGTCTTCAGCTATTTAACATCGAAAACTAACATTCATTCAGAGAATAACTGATTCCAAAATCAACAAGTCATTCCTGAAGATTAATGAACTTCAAATCGTCACTGTTGTCATTTGACATAGTTTAAAGTGTACAAAATATTGTGATCTAATTGAATTTGATCTGTGGACTGATAATCTTTTTAAATATTTATTATACTAACAAACAGAATATATTGGATGACTAGTGTAAGTTACGAATTATCAAGTATTTGTAAAGAAAGATAACAGGAAAGTAAATACCTTGTCTTTTCTTCATTTGAGTTTCATTCTGTAATACATATTTCATTTGTGTGCAAATCAGTTTGTGCGTAAGCGATGTAAATATAATAAGCTTGTCTTAATTTAGTCTTTTTGATTTAAGTAACTGGAAATTGTTTTCCCATCATAATTGATTTGTGCTTATCATGCACCTTTCTTTTCTTTCTGTTTGATGTATTTTATTTCTTCTTCCGTCAAAAAGCCAGTATGACGTTTCTTAATGTTACATCTATAAAATAAGTTCAGATATATGAATGTGTAGAAATTTTAGAATTATATAAAGATCTCATGTTTACGTTGAATTAGTTAACTGAATGATTTTATATGAGGTGACTCAAACAGCATGACCATTTTGTTACAACATTCTATCCCACTATTGTGAAATTATGGTCTGACAAACGCTGTCATTTAAACAAGACATGGGTTTATTTTTTTGTGATTGCACACTAGTCGGTAACTAGTGTAATCTGTCTGTTCCTATCTTCGGTGCAGATTGAATTCTATCAGTCATGCTTGCAATGTGGCCACCATGCTGCTAGGTGGGTCACCATTACGGTGCACTGGGAATTGTTAGTATTAGATGGTTGAAGGCAATCGGCAGGAAGCCTTGGACCTAGGTTCCGTGCTAGTTGGTACTTACCAGTCGGTAAGGCGTATCTGCAACGTCGAAGGAACTCATGTCCCATTCCTCTAAGATTCAAACCCTCGTCACCCAGTGCTGCAGACAGAGACGTTAGTTATACAAACTACTTTTTCAGTCTTACATATTGCTTAAAAAAACCTAAGTTCGATTATACTTTTGACAGTGGAATATGTCGAATCAGTCTGGCCGTTGGGATTACAGTATTCTGACAATTTTGAAATAGACTGTAACATTGAAGAAATACTCTGAGTGGTTAACTATAATGATTATGATCACGGATCAAAAGTCAAATTAGTTAATATTTACAGTGACTTATGAAGAAATTAAGAAGTCAATGTACAGTTAAGAAATGCACACCGAACCCTTCACGATGAATGAAGCCGTTTTAAGACAAGTCTGAATGGCTTAATTTGATATCAAAAACTAATAATCCCAGTAGGATGTATAGTGTTGTTAAAGTTCATAAACACAAGAGTATAAATACTTCTGGACTATACTAAAATACTAAATACTATACTAAAGAGGTGTATCAGTTTTAGTTTTTCACATTAAACTCTAAAATACAACTGCATTTAAAAAAGTGAAATGCACAAGCTCTTTCTACAAAAAGTAGAAGTTTGTGGTTCTTCCACTAAGACTGATACAAGGTTTAGAGCTTTTAAGTTTTTGGATGGTGAATAGAACTGAGATATTGTAGTCGATTTTAAGCCAACAGCCAAGCCTATTAATTATGCATTTATTTTATACAGACCCACGAGTATCAATGCAGCCGATTTTGGCTTGATATACAAATGCAAGTAATTGTTCTTCAAACAAGGGAAGATATTCGTCGTTTTGCTAATTTGAAATAAATTAATGAAGTTGATTTCAGTTGAGTTAGTGTGTCTACGTAGAAACTTTATCGCTAGTTCTATTGAAGAAAGAAAATTATATATTTCATAACAACTTGGTCAATACTTCCTAAACCTCCTCCAGGAACCAGTCTGCATCCATGGAAGTGGTCAGTCACCACAGCCAATTTAGTTTTGTCCATATCGTGAATACCCACATCTGACAGGTTGCATTAAACCCCAAAACAGATAGGCAGTATTTTTGATAACTAACTCCTTATAACATCTGAATAGTGGAGTTTATAAATCTGGGTTTCATTGTGTAATATGTTGAGTCTTATCTTTTCACTCCACTATTCACTGAATCGTGCATGTCTGGAAGCTTGTCTTATGTAAATGTAAGGAAGCTATGCAGGTAATCGACTGCTTTCTTCTACCAACAGCTGTTCGTAGACTGGTAGGCTGTTAAGTGGAATGAATTAGTACATATAAATGACTGTTTATAATCTTCGATTATTAAGCTGAGTATATTTCCGATCAAACTTATGCGTTGCACTGCAGACTTGTGGAACTGACGATGCAACTAGGCGGTCAACCTGAGACCGAGCACTTCGGTCCAATCAATCGACGGGAAAAATCTCAAATTCAATAAAATTAATATGACCCGTTGCACAAGAGGTGGCTCTCGTGGCCCAAGTGGTCTAGTGGATAACGCTTTGGCGTTTGAAACTATGGGTACTGGGTTCGAGCCTCGGTGGGAACATCATCACTCACTGAGAAATGCAGGTATATCCAGCTGACGAGTCCCAAATAGGACGAAATGCGCATCCTGGATTCCACTGCTAGTCACCATCCACCAATTAGAAATGGAAGATTTGCTACACAGGCCTTTATCATTCAGGACTCAGTTCACAGACTTGACAAAACAGTAAATCTTGTCTAATCCAAAATCAGTGGATGAAAACTTGTTAGTTATCATGATGGAAATCCTGTTTTACCGTATTCAGTCTGCTGGTAAATATTGAATGTATTCAAAGGATGAGAGATAATTCAGTATTGGTTTCCTGATATCATGGAAAAACGTGACTGGTACGAAAGATATTTACCTCACTTTAGTTACATAAACCGTAATAATTTCTCCGTTACACGCTTCATATTTTCATACGGAAATCTGGTAAGGCATTTAAGGAATGATTTCCAAACGGTCTATATTTTGAGAAAAAAATGTAGAAGTATATAGGTGGCAGAGAAAAACCTAGTTTACGTATTACTGCTGTCACATATTAATTGAGTCAATGAGCTACACATAGAAGTTAACCAATTCAGTCACGCAGTCTTATTTAATATTAATATTTAATAAATGTCAAAAACTAGTAGCATGATTAGTCTCAAATTATATTAAAAGTACATCTTACCCCCATAATTCTGCACCGCATCTGTCGCGAACACAAGTTGCAAAACTCAGTGTTGGAGGTTGTGAATGATCAGCTTGTCCACGTAAACAACAACTGTTCATAACTTTCATAATTTGTTTTCTATTCTTTGGAAAATTTCTCCATAACGAACGTATAGCTTTTGAGCATTCTTCATACTGATTACCACACTGTTGAACACATTTGTCAAAATCCGCTTTACTTAGTTTAAGCCCGTGATAATCAGCTTTACAAGAATTCATATGCAAAACAAACAGCAGGCAGAATAAAAATCTATGCATTTTGCCAAATTTAGAATAAATATCACATAGGCGCAGTATAAATACACATGCAACGTGTTTTATATGTTACCTGGTTAAATTTTCTAATTGTTTAGATTGAACAAAGTGTATCCCATGCTGAATATTGGACGGTACATTATAATATGTGTGTTAAGGGTGGTGGGGTGATATATAGATACTGATATTACAGGAAGTCAGAAAATCGTTAGTAAATACGACAAGATGCCACTGACCGGATATAGCATGTAAACGATGCACCTGAGATAAATGTTAGTGAAATTTGAAAGGCAAATAAATACAATGATTGGCTGGTCAGTATACCAATTACAGGACTTAAAACAAGTGTTGATACTGATATATTGCTGAAAATAATCATGATAACTTGGCAAAAAATCTGAATTATATTATTATTATTTCTCTTTTGAATCTCTGTTTAATCTCTTATATTGCTTTGTGAAATACATAGGATGTGCAAAATCGAAAACCGACACATCTGTTGAGAGTTAGAGGATGAGACCAGCCATCCAGCGGAAAACTCCCGAAAGAGATAAAACCCGAATTGCTAAAATTTATCCAAACCATTTAGGTAGAGCCATAAAAAACAAAAGAAACTAAACAAATTTCGCAAGCAAAACAACAAAACAATAAGGAAATCAGAAAAATGAGGAATTGGTCAAAAAGAAAACCTCGAAGAAACAGGCAAATATGACATTACGAGAAGCCACAAACTTAAAGAAAAAACCAAAGAACCAAAAAAAAGAAAATCAGAGAAAAAAACTTAACTGAAATTAAAAAAAAATACTAGGATCGAAATGTAGAGAAGATTACACAATATTTGAAGAACAAAAAGGAAGAGTGAAAGCTTTCGCGGATACTCACTGACATCCACCTAATATAGACAAGAGATCCAGCCAACTCGCTTCGATCATCACAACTACTCAGGATGATTCGTTACACGGTTCGCAGAAATTCTCAAACAAATGTCTATCAAAATACAAATACACATACACCTTGAATGATTTCTCCTCGTTGTGCACGTAATCCGGCGACTCAGTTACTAATATCTCTCTCACATAACAAACAGGTTTCCCGCTCCCATGTCGATATTTTCAAGAAGTCTCTCAACCATCCAGAGGAAGTGACTAACAGCTACCGAGAATTCGCTTCACAGACAACACATAATATACACTGGACATTCGTGCCACTCACACGGATGATCAGAAGTACTCTGGCTGATTTATTTACACGGTTATCACAAATCCTCACCACATCCTCTGACATCACACAAACACACATATTATTTCTCCTCATCCTATTCCTCCTCCTGATCGAAATGTCTGCTTCGTCTCAATATGCAACCTTGTCTTCTCCATATCCATGTATTGAAGACTTCTTTGAAGACTGAACAGGTAGAGTGACAGCTTTCGCGGATACTCACTGACATCCACCTAATATAGACAAGAGATCCAGCCAACTCGCTTCGATCATCACAACTACTCAGGATGATTCGTTACACGGTTCGCAGAAATTCTCAAACAAATGTCTATCAAAATACAAATACACATACACCTTGAATGATTTCTCCTCGTTGTGCACGTAATCCGGCGACTCAGTTACTAATATCTCTCTCACATAACAAACAGGTTTCCCGCTCCCATGTCGATATTTTCAAGAAGTCTCTCAACCATCCAGAGGAAGTGACTAACAGCTACCGAGAATTCGCTTCACAGACAACACATAATATACACTGGACATTCGTGCCACTCACACGGATGATCAGAAGTACTCTGGCTGATTTATTTACACGGTTATCACAAATCCTCACCACATCCTCTGACATCACACAAACACACATATTATTTCTCCTCATCCTATTCCTCCTCCTGATCGAAATGTCTGCTTCGTCTCAATATGCAACCTTGTCTTCTCCATATCCATGTATTGAAGACTTCTTTGAAGACTGAACAGGTAGAGTGACAGCTTTCGCGGATACTCACTGACATCCACCTAATATAGACAAGAGATCCAGCCAACTCGCTTCGATCATCACAACTACTCAGGATGATTCGTTACACGGTTCGCAGAAATTCTCAAACAAATGTCTATCAAAATACAAATACACATACACCTTGAATGATTTCTCCTCGTTGTGCACGTAATCCGGCGACTCAGTTACTAATATCTCTCTCACATAACAAACAGGTTTCCCGCTCCCATGTCGATATTTTCAAGAAGTCTCTCAACCATCCAGAGGAAGTGACTAACAGCTACCGAGAATTCGCTTCACAGACAACACATAATATACACTGGACATTCGTGCCACTCACACGGATGATCAGAAGTACTCTGGCTGATTTATTTACACGGTTATCACAAATCCTCACCACATCCTCTGACATCACACAAACACACATATTATTTCTCCTCATCCTATTCCTCCTCCTGATCGAAATGTCTGCTTCGTCTCAATATGCAACCTTGTCTTCTCCATATCCATGTATTGAAGACTTCTTTGAAGACTAAACAGGTAGAGTGACAGCTTTCGCGGATACTCACTGACATCCACCTAATATAGACAAGAGATCCAGCCAACTCGCTTCGATCATCACAACTACTCAGGATGATTCGTTACACAGTTCGCAGAAATTCTCAAACAAATGTCTATCAAAATACAAATACACATACACCTTGAATGATTTCTCCTCGTTGTGCACGTAATCCGGCGACTCAGTTACTAATATCTCTCTCACATAACAAACAGGTTTCCCGCTCCCATGTCGATATTTTCAAGAAGTCTCTCAACCATCCAGAGGAAGTGACTAACAGCTACCGAGAATTCGCTTCACAGACAACACATAATATACACTGGACATTCGTGCCACTCACACGGATGATCAGAAGTACTCTGGCTGATTTATTTACACGGTTATCACAAATCCTCACCACATCCTCTGACATCACACAAACACACATATTATTTCTCCTCATCCTATTCCTCCTCCTGATCGAAATGTCTGCTTCGTCTCAATATGCAACCTTGTCTTCTCCATATCCATGTATTGAAGACTTCTTTGAAGACTGAACAGGTAGAGTGACAGCTTTCGCGGATACTCACTGACATCCACCTAATATAGACAAGAGATCCAGCCAACTCGCTTCGATCATCACAACTACTCAGGATGATTCGTTACACGGTTCGCAGAAATTCTCAAACAAATGTCTATCAAAATACAAATACACATACACCTTGAATGATTTCTCCTCGTTGTGCACGTAATCCGGCGACTCAGTTACTAATATCTCTCTCACATAACAAACAGGTTTCCCGCTCCCATGTCGATATTTTCAAGAAGTCTCTCAACCATCCAGAGGAAGTGACTAACAGCTACCGAGAATTCGCTTCACAGACAACACATAATATACACTGGACATTCGTGCCACTCACACGGATGATCAGAAGTACTCTGGCTGATTTATTTACACGGTTATCACAAATCCTCACCACATCCTCTGACATCACACAAACACACATATTATTTCTCCTCATCCTATTCCTCCTCCTGATCGAAATGTCTGCTTCGTCTCAATATGCAACCTTGTCTTCTCCATATCCATGTATTGAAGACTTCTTTGAAGACTGAACAGGTAGAGTGACAGCTTTCGCGGATACTCACTGACATCCACCTAATATAGACAAGAGATCCAGCCAACTCGCTTCGATCATCACAACTACTCAGGATGATTCGTTACACGGTTCGCAGAAATTCTCAAACAAATGTCTATCAAAATACAAATACACATACACCTTGAATGATTTCTCCTCGTTGTGCACGTAATCCGGCGACTCAGTTACTAATATCTCTCTCACATAACAAACAGGTTTCCCGCTCCCATGTCGATATTTTCAAGAAGTCTCTCAACCATCCAGAGGAAGTGACTAACAGCTACCGAGAATTCGCTTCACAGACAACACATAATATACACTGGACATTCGTGCCACTCACACGGATGATCAGAAGTACTCTGGCTGATTTATTTACACGGTTATCACAAATCCTCACCACATCCTCTGACATCACACAAACACACATATTATTTCTCCTCATCCTATTCCTCCTCCTGATCGAAATGTCTGCTTCGTCTCAATATGCAACCTTGTCTTCTCCATATCCATGTATTGAAGACTTCTTTGAAGACTGAACAGGTAGAGTGACAGCTTTCGCGGATACTCACTGACATCCACCTAATATAGACAAGAGATCCAGCCAACTCGCTTCGATCATCACAACTACTCAGGATGATTCGTTACACGGTTCGCAGAAATTCTCAAACAAATGTCTATCAAAATACAAATACACATACACCTTGAATGATTTCTCCTCGTTGTGCACGTAATCCGGCGACTCAGTTACTAATATCTCTCTCACATAACAAACAGGTTTCCCGCTCCCATGTCGATATTTTCAAGAAGTCTCTCAACCATCCAGAGGAAGTGACTAACAGCTACCGAGAATTCGCTTCACAGACAACACATAATATACACTGGACATTCGTGCCACTCACACGGATGATCAGAAGTACTCTGGCTGATTTATTTACACGGTTATCACAAATCCTCACCACATCCTCTGACATCACACAAACACACATATTATTTCTCCTCATCCTATTCCTCCTCCTGATCGAAATGTCTGCTTCGTCTCAATATGCAACCTTGTCTTCTCCATATCCATGTATTGAAGACTTCTTTGAAGACTGAACAGGTAGAGTGACAGCTTTCGCGGATACTCACTGACATCCACCTAATATAGACAAGAGATCCAGCCAACTCGCTTCGATCATCACAACTACTCAGGATGATTCGTTACACGGTTCGCAGAAATTCTCAAACAAATGTCTATCAAAATACAAATACACATACACCTTGAATGATTTCTCCTCGTTGTGCACGTAATCCGGCGACTCAGTTACTAATATCTCTCTCACATAACAAACAGGTTTCCCGCTCCCATGTCGATATTTTCAAGAAGTCTCTCAACCATCCAGAGGAAGTGACTAACAGCTACCGAGAATTCGCTTCACAGACAACACATAATATACACTGGACATTCGTGCCACTCACACGGATGATCAGAAGTACTCTGGCTGATTTATTTACACGGTTATCACAAATCCTCACCACATCCTCTGACATCACACAAACACACATATTATTTCTCCTCATCCTATTCCTCCTCCTGATCGAAATGTCTGCTTCGTCTCAATATGCAACCTTGTCTTCTCCATATCCATGTATTGAAGACTTCTTTGAAGACTGAACAGGTAGAGTGACAGCTTTCGCGGATACTCACTGACATCCACCTAATATAGACAAGAGATCCAGCCAACTCGCTTCGATCATCACAACTACTCAGGATGATTCGTTACACGGTTCGCAGAAATTCTCAAACAAATGTCTATCAAAATACAAATACACATACACCTTGAATGATTTCTCCTCGTTGTGCACGTAATCCGGCGACTCAGTTACTAATATCTCTCTCACATAACAAACAGGTTTCCCGCTCCCATGTCGATATTTTCAAGAAGTCTCTCAACCATCCAGAGGAAGTGACTAACAGCTACCGAGAATTCGCTTCACAGACAACACATAATATACACTGGACATTCGTGCCACTCACACGGATGATCAGAAGTACTCTGGCTGATTTATTTACACGGTTATCACAAATCCTCACCACATCCTCTGACATCACACAAACACACATATTATTTCTCCTCATCCTATTCCTCCTCCTGATCGAAATGTCTGCTTCGTCTCAATATGCAACCTTGTCTTCTCCATATCCATGTATTGAAGACTTCTTTGAAGACTGAACAGGTAGAGTGACAGCTTTCGCGGATACTCACTGACATCCACCTAATATAGACAAGAGATCCAGCCAACTCGCTTCGATCATCACAACTACTCAGGATGATTCGTTACACGGTTCGCAGAAATTCTCAAACAAATGTCTATCAAAATACAAATACACATACACCTTGAATGATTTCTCCTCGTTGTGCACGTAATCCGGCGACTCAGTTACTAATATCTCTCTCACATAACAAACAGGTTTCCCGCTCCCATGTCGATATTTTCAAGAAGTCTCTCAACCATCCAGAGGAAGTGACTAACAGCTACCGAGAATTCGCTTCACAGACAACACATAATATACACTGGACATTCGTGCCACTCACACGGATGATCAGAAGTACTCTGGCTGATTTATTTACACGGTTATCACAAATCCTCACCACATCCTCTGACATCACACAAACACACATATTATTTCTCCTCATCCTATTCCTCCTCCTGATCGAAATGTCTGCTTCGTCTCAATATGCAACCTTGTCTTCTCCATATCCATGTATTGAAGACTTCTTTGAAGACTGAACAGGTAGAGTGACAGCTTTCGCGGATACTCACTGACATCCACCTAATATAGACAAGAGATCCAGCCAACTCGCTTCGATCATCACAACTACTCAGGATGATTCGTTACACGGTTCGCAGAAATTCTCAAACAAATGTCTATCAAAATACAAATACACATACACCTTGAATGATTTCTCCTCGTTGTGCACGTAATCCGGCGACTCAGTTACTAATATCTCTCTCACATAACAAACAGGTTTCCCGCTCCCATGTCGATATTTTCAAGAAGTCTCTCAACCATCCAGAGGAAGTGACTAACAGCTACCGAGAATTCGCTTCACAGACAACACATAATATACACTGGACATTCGTGCCACTCACACGGATGATCAGAAGTACTCTGGCTGATTTATTTACACGGTTATCACAAATCCTCACCACATCCTCTGACATCACACAAACACACATATTATTTCTCCTCATCCTATTCCTCCTCCTGATCGAAATGTCTGCTTCGTCTCAATATGCAACCTTGTCTTCTCCATATCCATGTATTGAAGACTTCTTTGAAGACTGAACAGGTAGAGTGACAGCTTTCGCGGATACTCACTGACATCCACCTAATATAGACAAGAGATCCAGCCAACTCGCTTCGATCATCACAACTACTCAGGATGATTCGTTACACGGTTCGCAGAAATTCTCAAACAAATGTCTATCAAAATACAAATACACATACACCTTGAATGATTTCTCCTCGTTGTGCACGTAATCCGGCGACTCAGTTACTAATATCTCTCTCACATAACAAACAGGTTTCCCGCTCCCATGTCGATATTTTCAAGAAGTCTCTCAACCATCCAGAGGAAGTGACTAACAGCTACCGAGAATTCGCTTCACAGACAACACATAATATACACTGGACATTCGTGCCACTCACACGGATGATCAGAAGTACTCTGGCTGATTTATTTACACGGTTATCACAAATCCTCACCACATCCTCTGACATCACACAAACACACATATTATTTCTCCTCATCCTATTCCTCCTCCTGATCGAAATGTCTGCTTCGTCTCAATATGCAACCTTGTCTTCTCCATATCCATGTATTGAAGACTTCTTTGAAGACTGAACAGGTAGAGTGACAGCTTTCGCGGATACTCACTGACATCCACCTAATATAGACAAGGGATCCAGCCAACTCGCTTCGATCATCACAACTACTCAGGATGATTCGTTACACGGTTCGCAGAAATTCTCAAACAAATGTCTATCAAAATACAAATACACATACACCTTGAATGATTTCTCCTCGTTGTGCACGTAATCCGGCGACTCAGTTACTATTATCTGTAGGGGTAAATAATTCCCCAAAATTATTGACCACAGCAATCACTCATTGGATGCTGACCACCACTGTTTAAGTCGACTTGTTTAGCTGAAGGCTTCCGGTCAAGCATCCCCGCCATTTGGTACCTCGTCGTGTCACGTGCACGATCACTAGCTAGCTAAGCGTTCGTCTAACGGCTGGTTTTGGTTCGTAAATACATCTATTGGTTTGGACGATCAATTGTTGGCTTTTGCTTTGTCTTTGGTACGCGAGAATAAATTAATTAGAAGTTGTTGAACGAGATATCACGTCAAACCTTTAATATCTCTCAACCTTAAACTGGTGAGCCCAACCGCGAACTTCACCCACGATAAATCCGCCCACCTTTAAACTGGTGAGCCCAACCGCGAACTTCATCCACGAAAAATCCGCAGATAACCCCGGTGAGTTCGTTCCATTTTGTATTTGTTCTTGTACCATATATTATTCGACATAATTTTCGTCATGAGTGATCTTAGTCCCAAGGTCATCCGTATCCGCTCAACTCCTAAAACCATTCAGCTCGTACCATACTGGCCAGATAATGCTGAAACGTGGTTTCTGCTAGCTGAAGCAGATTTTTGTGAGCATGGGATAACTGATCAACGTTCACAGTTACTTGCAGTTATTCACGCCCTACCGCGGGAATTCAGCAAGTACGTAACATCACAGATGTTGAGTCCCGAGGTAAGTAACTCGTACGAGTTGCTGAAAGCATCCCTCCTCAGGAGAAACGCTCTCACGGACAGACAACGTCTAGATGAATTATTTCGCAACATCGAGTTAGGAGATCAGTCAGCCGTGAGCATGCTGACAAGAATGAAACAAGTCGTCGGCCAATGTCAGTTCGACGAAGGACTGTTTAGAGAACTCTTCTTAACCAAGTTGCCACAATCTGTACAGACCGTACTTGTGACACTTGAGGGTACTGTAATAGAGAACTTAGCTATTACTGCAGATAAGATTCTAGAAATAACTAAACGGTCTGTCCCCGAAATATGCTCAATGACTAAGCAGACTTCGAGTGAGGATCCTGCAATGACAGAGTTATGCAACTCCCTTCAGCAGATGTTTAGGTCAAACACGCATTCTAAATCCTCCAACCGTCGTCCTAAATCTCCTCAACGCAGGAACTCGCGTGGTCGATCTAAGTCCAAACCACGTTCACTGAAAAACCCTGACTGGTGCTGGTACCACAACACCTATGGCCAAGAAGCGAAGTGTTGCCGTAAGCCTTGTAACTTCGGAAATGTCTCAAAGTCTGCGGGAAACTATCCCGCCGGCACGCGTTAGCGGCAACCGTCGCCGGTGGCACTAGCCGCCTACTTTACATCCATGATGTGATAAGCCAGACTCGATACTTAGTCGACACAGGCGCCGAAGTCAGCGTCCTTCCTGCTACAGCAGCAGATCGACAGAAGGAACCTACCTTCAACTTACAGGCTGCAAATGGAAAACCAATCGCAACCTTTGGTAGGAAATACGTCTATCTGAACGTAGGTTTACGCAAACCTATTCGGTGGATTTTCCTTCTCGCTGACGTTACAATGCCCATCATTGGCACGGACCTACTTAATCATCATGATTTACTCGTAGACGTCCGCCGAAAACGACTGATTGACAATACTACTAGTCTGTCTATCAAAGGCATCACCTACATAGGCCCTAGCTTGTCACCCGTTAAGATAAAGGCAATTCTTGATCCAACTTTTCAACCTATCGTTGACAAGTATCCGGAACTTAATGCCCGTCGAACGACCTACCGTGCATAACCAGCAATGTTATGCACCACATCATTACCACAGGACAACCTGTGACATCTAAAGCACGACGATTAGCTCCTGACAAACTGAGAATCGCCAGGAATGAATTTGACCATATGCTTAGCCTTGGCATCATTCGACCTTCGAATAGCCCATGGGCATCCCCACTTCATATGGTTCCGAAAAAGGATAGCAACGATTGGCGACCCACCGGTGATTACCGGCGAGTGAATGCCAAAACAACCCCTGATTGCTACCCGTTGCCTCATATACACGACTTGACGGCAACCTTATCCGGCGCGACTATATTCTCCAAAATCGACTTGGTTAAAGCGTATAACCAAATCCCGATGGCAACAGAAGACATCCCGAAAACGGCTATCATTACGCCTTTCGGACTTTTTGAATTTCTACGTATGCCATTCGGTCTTCGGAATGCAGCCCAAACATTCCAACGCTTCATTGACGAAGTATTTCGCGGTCTCGACTTTGTATACGCATACTTAGACGACTGCCTCATTGCCAGTCCAGACAAGGAAACTCACCTTAGGCACTTGGACTTGGCATTTGACAGGTTACGCCAACATGGTGTTACCATCAATATTCAAAAGTGTCAAATCGGTGTTGACTCACTCGACTTCCTGGGTCACACTATTGACTGCAAGGGCATTCGCCCACTGGCTACTAAGGTTGAGCCTCCTAAGAAAAACCGTTCTGGACGCACCGTAAGGTTCCCAGAACACTTGCACACTTATTTGACTTAACGAAGTCGTGTGATTCACGCAACTCACTCGTTTGTGGTACTATTTTTTTTTTGACGTATAATTTTTTTTATATACAGTACCACCGAACACAAAAAAATTGTTTTTTCTCAACAGTTCATGTAACATACCAAAAAAATTAATTAGATGTATTTTTTTTTCGATGTTCTGAACTTAGCATTATTTTACTGTATAGTAAATGCACATAATTTTTTTTAACCAAAAAGGTCATTTCGTACATTTTCCTCGACATGGTTCTTAGCGTTCTTGTTTTCTTTTCCAGGTGCGACGGGCACTGGACGGGAAACAAACGAAGCACGGAATCCAACGAACAACACCAGGAAGCTATGTACAAACACCCCATTAGCATAGGCAGACAAACCAGTAGGCATAAGACCAAGCCGCTCGGAAGATTTTTTTCACCCGAAAGGGAACCATCGAGTTTTTTTTACTTCCGGCTGGTTCTGTCTTAGGGTCCTCACGACCCCACTAGGGGGGAGTGAGCTGTAGCGGTAAATAATTCCCCAAAATTATTGACCACAGCAATCACTCATTGGATGCTGACCACCACTGTTTAAGTCGACTTGTTTAGCTGAAGGCTTCCGGTCAAGCATCCCCGCCATTTGGTACCCCGTCGTGTCACGTGCACGATCACTAGCTAGCTAAGCGTTCGTCTAACGGCTGGTTTTGGTTCGTAAATACATCTTTTGTTTGGACGATCAATTGTTGGCTTTTGCTTTGTCTTTGGTACGCGAGAATAAATTAATTAGAAGTTGTTGAACGAGATATCACGTCAAACCTTTAATATCCGCCAACCTCTAAATATCTCTCTCACATAACAAACAGGTTTCCCGCTCCCATGTCGATATTTTCAAGAAGTCTCTCAACCATCCAGAGGAAGTGACTAACAGCTACCGAGAATTCGCTTCACAGACAACACATAATATACACTGGACATTCGTGCCACTCACACGGATGATCAGAAGTACTCTGGCTGATTTATTTACACGGTTATCACAAATCCTCACCACATCCTCTGACATCACACAAACACACATATTATTTCTCCTCATCCTATTCCTCCTCCTGATCGAAATGTCTGCTTCGTCTCAATATGCAACCTTGTCTTCTCCATATCCATGTATTGAAGACTTCTTTGAAGACTGAACAGGTAGAGTGACAGCTTTCGCGGATACTCACTGACATCCACCTAATATAGACAAGAGATCCAGCCAACTCGCTTCGATCATCACAACTACTCAGGATGATTCGTTACACGGTTCGCAGAAATTCTCAAACAAATGTCTATCAAAATACAAATACACATACACCTTGAATGATTTCTCCTCGTTGTGCACGTAATCCGGCGACTCAGTTACTAATATCTCTCTCACATAACAAACAGGTTTCCCGCTCCCATGTCGATATTTTCAAGAAGTCTCTCAACCATCCAGAGGAAGTGACTAACAGCTACCGAGAATTCGCTTCACAGACAACACATAATATACACTGGACATTCGTGCCACTCACACGGATGATCAGAAGTACTCTGGCTGATTTATTTACACGGTTATCACAAATCCTCACCACATCCTCTGACATCACACAAACACACATATTATTTCTCCTCATCCTATTCCTCCTCCTGATCGAAATGTCTGCTTCGTCTCAATATGCAACCTTGTCTTCTCCATATCCATGTATTGAAGACTTCTTTGAAGACTGAACAGGTAGAGTGACAGCTTTCGCGGATACTCACTGACATCCACCTAATATAGACAAGAGATCCAGCCAACTCGCTTCGATCATCACAACTACTCAGGATGATTCGTTACACGGTTCGCAGAAATTCTCAAACAAATGTCTATCAAAATACAAATACACATACACCTTGAATGATTTCTCCTCGTTGTGCACGTAATCCGGCGACTCAGTTACTAATATCTCTCTCACATAACAAACAGGTTTCCCGCTCCCATGTCGATATTTTCAAGAAGTCTCTCAACCATCCAGAGGAAGTGACTAACAGCTACCGAGAATTCGCTTCACAGACAACACATAATATACACTGGACATTCGTGCCACTCACACGGATGATCAGAAGTACTCTGGCTGATTTATTTACACGGTTATCACAAATCCTCACCACATCCTCTGACATCACACAAACACACATATTATTTCTCCTCATCCTATTCCTCCTCCTGATCGAAATGTCTGCTTCGTCTCAATATGCAACCTTGTCTTCTCCATATCCATGTATTGAAGACTTCTTTGAAGACTGAACAGGTAGAGTGACAGCTTTCGCGGATACTCACTGACATCCACCTAATATAGACAAGAGATCCAGCCAACTCGCTTCGATCATCACAACTACTCAGGATGATTCGTTACACGGTTCGCAGAGATTCTCAAACAAATGTCTATCAAAATACAAATACACATACACCTTGAATGATTTCTCCTCGTTGTGCACGTAATCCGGCGACTCAGTTACTAATATCTCTCTCACATAACAAACAGGTTTCCCGCTCCCATGTCGATATTTTCAAGAAGTCTCTCAACCATCCAGAGGAAGTGACTAACAGCTACCGAGAATTCGCTTCACAGACAACACATAATATACACTGGACATTCGTGCCACTCACACGGATGATCAGAAGTACTCTGGCTGATTTATTTACACGGTTATCACAAATCCTCACCACATCCTCTGACATCACACAAACACACATATTATTTCTCCTCATCCTATTCCTCCTCCTGATCGAAATGTCTGCTTCGTCTCAATATGCAACCTTGTCTTCTCCATATCCATGTATTGAAGACTTCTTTGAAGACTGAACAGGTAGAGTGACAGCTTTCGCGGATACTCACTGACATCCACCTAATATAGACAAGAGATCCAGCCAACTCGCTTCTATCATCACAACTACTCAGGATGATTCGTTACACGGTTCGCAGAAATTCTCAAACAAATGTCTATCGAAATACAAATACACATACACCTTGAATGATTTCTCCTCGTTGTGCACGTAATCCGGCGACTCAGTTACTAATATCTCTCTCACATAACAAACAGGTTTCCCGCTCCCATGTCGATATTTTCAAGAAGTCTCTCAACCATCCAGAGGAAGTGACTAACAGCTACCGAGAATTCGCTTCACAGACAACACATAATATACACTGGACATTCGTGCCACTCACACGGATGATCAGAAGTACTCTGGCTGATTTATTTACACGGTTATCACAAATCCTCACCACATCCTCTGACATCACACAAACACACATATTATTTCTCCTCATCCTATTCCTCCTCCTGATCGAAATGTCTGCTTCGTCTCAATATGCAACCTTGTCTTCTCCATATCCATGTATTGAAGACTTCTTTGAAGACTGAACAGGTAGAGTGACAGCTTTCGCGGATACTCACTGACATCCACCTAATATAGACAAGAGATCCAACCAACTCGCTTCGATCATCACAACTACTCAGGATGATTCGTTACACGGTTCGCAGAGATTCTCAAACAAATGTCTATCAAAATACAAATACACATACACCTTGAATGATTTCTCCTCGTTGTGCACGTAATCCGGCGACTCAGTTACTAATATCTCTCTCACATAACAAACAGGTTTCCCGCTCCCATGTCGATATTTTCAAGAAGTCTCTCAACCATCCAGAGGAAGTGACTAACAGCTACCGAGAATTCGCTTCACAGACAACACATAATATACACTGGACATTCGTGCCACTCACACGGATGATCAGAAGTACTCTGGCTGATTTATTTACACGGTTATCACAAATCCTCACCACATCCTCTGACATCACACAAACACACATATTATTTCTCTTCATCCTATTCCTCCTCCTGATCGAAATGTCTGCTTCGTCTCAATATGCAACCTTGTCTTCTCCATATCCATGTATTGAAGACTTCTTTGAAGACTGAACAGGTAGAGTGACAGCTTTCGCGGATACTCACTGACATCCACCTAATATAGACAAGAGATCCAACCAACTCGCTTCGATCATCACAACTACTCAGGATGATTCGTTACACGGTTCGCAGAAATTCTCAAACAAATGTCTATCAAAATACAAATACACATACACCTTGAATGATTTCTCCTCGTTGTGCACGTAATCCGGCGACTCAGTTACTAATATCTCTCTCACATAACAAACAGGTTTCCCGCTCCCATGTCGATATTTTCAAGAAGTCTCTCAACCATCCAGAGGAAGTGACTAACAGCTACCGAGAATTCGCTTCACAGACAACACATAATATACACTGGACATTCGTGCCACTCACACGGATGATCAGAAGTACTCTGGCTGATTTATTTACACGGTTATCACAAATCCTCACCACATCCTCTGACATCACACAAACACACATATTATTTCTCCTCATCCTATTCCTCCTCCTGATCGACATGTCTGCTTCGTCTCAATATGCAACCTTGTCTTCTCCATATCCATGTATTGGAGACTTCTTTGAAGACTGAACAGGTAGAGTGACAGCTTTCGCGGATACTCACTGACATCCACCTAATATAGACAAGAGATCCAGCCAACTCGCTTCGATCATCACAACTACTCAGGATGATTCGTTACACGGTTCGCAGAAATTCTCAGACAATTGTCTCTCAATATACAAATACACATACACCTTCTAAGATTTCTCCTCAACTACACCTAATCCTCCCTCTCAAATACTACTATCTCTCTCCCTGAACATCCAGGTTTCTCGCTCCCATGTCGATATTTTCAAGAAGTCTCTCAACCATCCAGAGGAAGTGACTAACAGCTACCGAGAATTCGCTTCACAGACAACACATAATATACACTGGACATTCGTGCCACTCACACGGATGATCAGAAGTACTCTGGCTGACTTTTTTACACGGTTATCACAAATCCTCACCACATCCTCTGACATCACACAAACACACATATTATTTCTCCTCATCCTATTCCTCCTCCTGATCGACATGTCTGCTTCGTCTCAATATGCAGCCTTGTCTTCTCCATATCCATGTATTGGGGACTTCTTTGAAGACTGAACAGGTAGAGTGACAGCTTTCGCGGATACTCACTGACATCCACCTAATATGGACAAGACTTTCAACCAACTCGCTTCGATCATCACAACTACTCAGGATGATTCGTTTACACGGTTCGCAGAAATTCTCAGACAATTGTCTCTCAATATACAAATACACATACACCTTCTAAGATTTCTCCTCCTACACCTACACCTACACCTACACCTACACCTACTACTTCACCTACAAATACAGCTACACCAACATGTTATCGTTATTCTAGCTTTTATCCTCCCTCTCAAATACTACTATCTCTCTCCCTGAACATCCAGGTTTCTCGCTCCCATGTCGATATTTTCAAGAAGTCTCTCAACCATCCAGAGGAAGTGACTAACAGCTACCGAGAATTCGCTTCACAGACAACACATAATATACACTGGACATTCGTGCCACTCACACGGATGATCAGAAGTACTCTGGCTGACTTTTTTACACGGTTATCACAAATCCTCACCACATCCTCTGACATCACACAAACACACATATTATTTCTCCTCATCCTATTCCTCCTCCTGATCGACATGTC